ATGCTGTGTGTACTTTAGCAGTATGCATTTGAACCTGAACCTCTGACGTAAGAAGGCGTGTCCAGTTCAATAAATGAACATGTCAGAAATATGAAGTCCCAAACAAACACACAGTAATATTACTAGAAAACTGTATTAATGAAAAAAATAATTATATAATAAATTAATAAATTGTGTAATAAATTGTGACTACAGCATAAGAGTATTTTTGTTTTCTTTTATCTTAACTATTAGAACCTATTTTGCATCAGTTATTTATATTTAGTTGCTTATATTTAGCCACATAAACTGTGGTGGCTAAATGATGCTGATGCTGTTTATTATGATTATTATTTAGTAAGTACATAATAATAATAATAATAATATAGTGTTTACATCATAGTTATTTATAGTTTAATGTTGTGCAATGTAGCAGTTCGTGGGTCTAAATGGACATAAAAGTTAGGTGTCTTATGTTGTGAGTTTATCATGTTGTGATAGATTTAAGAAGATTATCCTAAGAGAAACTATGGTTTGGTTATCAACTACAGTTTAAGACCTGTCCATATGAGCTAGAGTATGTAAAACATCTGGAGACGGTTGCATAACCCTCTGTGTAGAGGGTCATACAGCTGTGTGTGCACAAAGAAAAAGATGTGCAGGTGAATTCTTTTCATGTTCATAAAGTGCATCCTCTAATGTAATCCTCAGTCATTGGGAAGTTGTAGGCAATTAGACAAGTCTTACTTCCACACTTTTCTTTAGCAGTGGATGCAGACTGCCCTTTAATCAACCACTTCAGTGTGAATTCTGTTTGCACCTGACGTTTTTAATCTTGGGTAGAACAATATCACCAAATGTGAAATTGGTATTTGCATTATGGACATCAGGAAAAAAATGAGAGCAAAGGAGAAGAAAAAGTAATGAATTGAAAAAGAAAAATAGAATATCAAATGTGTCACAAAAGCAAAGGAACAATTAACAACAACAACAACAATAATAACAGTAATAATAATATTAAATTACAGAATTTAGAGCATTTAAAGCTTTTTACAGCAAAATCATCCAAACAAAAAAATAATAATAATAATAATAGGCAATTATCTCCAAAGCATTTGTACATATTAATACACATACACAAATAAGTATTCATAGTGTGAAAACTTACTTTTAAAGGAATAGTACTGCATTTTTTATATATTCATTTTCACAGGTTAGTATAAATAAATACATTTGTTACTGTAAGTAGAATTTTAAGGTATCTGTATTTTACTTGAGTATTTATTTTTCATTTATTTACTTTTTACGTTTACTTCCTACATTTCAACACAAATAATTACATTTTCAAAACAGGCTCGTTATTGTAGGTTCAACTGTATCATTTATAGAGCTTATACTCTGGAGTTACAGTGGGCCAGGACAAGTGCAGGTATGTTGTAGTCAGCTTCAAGCCAGCGCTACAGAAGAGGAACGTGCATAAAGGGAGAAATATTTCAACATGACAATGTTTCTACAACATTTTTGTGAGCTAAACACACAAACTCTTCGTGTGCACTTTGTCACACAGTATGTTGTTAGCTAAAGGGCCAGCTGCTGGGATTACATGGAATGTCATAATTTTTAATCACATATTGGATCTGTCAATTAATCAGATTTCATCTACATTTATACTAATGATGCTTAGATTCGCTGGCTGAATTCAATAATCATACCAGCTTTATATTTCTACTGCAAAGACAATGTATAGAATACTGTTAGTGTAGGAAATGGAACTCAGCTGTGAAACATCTGCTTGCGTCTTGTTGATTTCAGTTGTGTAAATCCACAAAGAGCAGCAGGCCAGCTGATCACAGCCTGTCCACTAAGAAAATCTAATGAAACTCACATTAGAAATTATTGTGAGCTGTTAGTATTTCCCCCACACTGAGCCACGACAACAGATTTTAGTGTTCCTCCACCTGCTGAATCACACTTGAAACCCCAGACTGTTCTCATTTTTCTGTTTAGGTGCAGAGGCAAAGTAACCCCCATTTATTTTTTCTCCTTTATTGCTTGTGTCCTAAATAACAGATTAAAGATGAGTACATTCATTAGAATTAGAATTTGGATTTGAATAAATTTGTATTTTCAGGTACTAATATTTTGTATTACATTAATATAGGAGAAGGTCTAACTACCTGTGCATAAAATAGATTGTAGAATTGTCCTTCAGGGAGCAACTTTTGCACTTTTTTCTGTACTTTTGGCACCTTCGTTCATTTTGATTTGTTCTGTCTAAACATACTTTAAGAAGTCTGGAGTGCAGTAAAATTCAGACATAGGTAACTTGACAGATGCTGATTTGAAAACAACTGGACATGGATAACTTGAGTTTTTTGTGTAATATTACTAATTAGGCAGCGCATTATCTTTCTCTTGACAACAATTTTAAGATATAACGTTTTGGGTCAGCCTTAAAGAAAGATAGAAATGTAAAAGTGACTTACAATAAATGCAGCTGAATTTTAAGCAAAGTTAAAAAAAAAAAGACATTTTATTTTTCACAACTTTCCCTATGATGTCAATACCAACAATGGCAGTAAAAAAAAACATATCTAGCTCTACATAGCATTATTATCACTTTGACCTTCAGATCAATCTATTGACCCTGAAGGAGAGGTCAGTGGTCACATGGGACACAATATTTTTTAATCCTTATGCGGTAATTTCTATATGTTGATAATACACACTGCATAGTTTCCAAGTTATGGGACTTTTTGTGTATTTTTAAGCAATAAACCATTAAGTTGACCTTAACGATACTGGTAGATGTTAGCCAAATTTTCATACATCCCAACAATGTTTTATCAGAATTCATTCAAAACTTTTAGAGCTACTGTGTTGCGTTTACAGACAGAATGAAGGCAGGCATGCATGTGCTACATGCCAACTGCTTTTGTACAAGTAATATTACAATGATAAGAAGGAACACAAACTGTGAAATTATATTTGTTGTCTCTTCCATATCAGGCTTTGCTAGCTCTAAAAAACATGAGTAATATGGTCTAAGGTATGTGTGAGATATTAATTAATTTTTCTGTTTAAAAAACATTTTTTTAATAGGGTCAACATATGCCAGTGTATTTGTGGAAAAGGGGTATCGGTTTTATTTGTCCATACAAATTGGTTAAAACTCTTTACAGAGACATAATTCTAAATGACAAGCCATCATTTGAAAGAAACACACTGATCTGCAACACGACATCCACATATTCCCATATTAAGATTTCCTTCTCCATGTGTTTGCCTGGAGCAGATTGATAATTTAAGTGCAGTCTCCGTGAGGCATTTATAAGATGTAAGCTGTTGATGCTGACATGGGTGTGTCTGCAGGCTGCAGGCCACGTCTCAGTGCACAACAGCTGGGACTAAAATCCTCCCTTGGCATTTAGACAAGACACACATATAACAACAGCAACAGCCAAAATGAATTCCTAGTAAATTAAAAACTTCCTGTGGAGCATCTTAATGCAAAATAGTAGGCACAGTATCTGTGGAGGCAATTACATGAGTCTAACAGTGCACACTGTTGACATTCATTCAGATGAACAGATTCAAATGTTTAACTGTGATATATCACAGATCATTTACAGTTTCTTTCTCTCAAACACTAAGAAGTATAACAGCAATTCACATTTTGTAGGCCAATTTACACAATGAAATCAGCAGAATTCAATAATAGGAATCCAAGCATACAAAAGGAAACAACAAGCAACCACCAGCAACAATAAAAACAAACTTATACTATGTGGGGTTCTTCCTACTAAAGCTATTTTAAGATGTCCCAAAGACAATACAGATCTTTCTCAACCAATACAGAAAAGCGTGTGGCCCCTCTTCCATGAGCGATGTTGAGCCATGGCTGCAAGAGCTCATAAATACCCTTTCAAAAGTTAAATGTTTCTCAAGCTTATGTTTTTAATGCCCCCTTGTTATCCTCATGACCTACCTACCTCCTGCCTTCCCCATGGCCTGGCACTTTCCCTCCACTGTGTGGATTAAGCCTGTTTCAGTTACAGAAATATTGAATTATTTTTCAGAAGCTTTTTTTGTGGCAAATCCAGACAGGGAAAATGTGGCCATCTGGTCTGACTCTATTACATACCACTAATCTCAGGTGGCATACAAACAAGCAACACACATCCACATGCAGGCTTAAACACATACGCACACATACAAAATACACTGTGCATGTTTTCACCTGTATTTCTGAAATTACCATATGACACACTGTACAATTTTTCATCCATGGAGACTCTTTTCAAGCAACGAGAGACTAAGTCCATGTATGCATTGTTTCTACAATCTCTTATATATGAGCTCAAGTGGAACATGATTCCACGTAGTTTCCTTGGGGATTACTAAAGTATGTTGATTCTGATTAATCGAGTAAATAATATCCTTTTGTTGGCATTCAGAAGAAAGTGCTAAGGACACCTGTGCAGAGCTCATGGCTTTAGCTTTAGCCACTAGTTGAAAGTTTCAAAAACACAGATGCTAAAAATGGGGAGACATAAATCAATATAATATTGATAATTAATAAAATTATTAATACAAGAGTGAATTTAATGAAGCTGAAATTACTCAAATGATCAGATCATCTATAGCCTACTTCACATTCCTTGGCGGGGGGGCATCAATGCACCAATAAATGGAGCTAATGGATCTAAATCATTTACAAATTGAAGTTATTGTTTACTTTTTGTTTTTAAGAAGCAGGCTTTTAGCTCTATGGCTGCAAAAGTAAAAGACTCTAAATAGCATCTCTAAAATATGGGGAAACTATAATGTCACGTTATAGGACGTGAGTCGCTCAGTCTTGACGTAATATGAGCCACTGTTTTCAAAGTTTCTTCCGTTTCCCTCCTTAACCACAATAAAATAAAAACCAACCATTTTCCCAGTTGCCATCGTTCAGCACTTCAGCCGTGAAATAGATGGTAAGCTGAAGGAAGCTGTGCAACTTTAGGAAAGTTGCCTACCTTGATTGCCGTGACGATCGCGCAAACTTCCGGGCGTTGTTGGCGAAAGTTTGACGCGCCGGGCCGTGCAGTGCCGATGGCATGATGAATGTCAGCTGGACCGACTTAAAACCACAATGCGCTTTCTGTCAGCCCCCATGCTGACCGCGCCGACAGCACGTACGGCCGAGGTGCCCCGGCCAATTATCCAGGGGCCAGATGCGAGAGTGATATAACAACAGCATGATTCCGTTTAATTTGGGCAATTCCCTTAAAATCCTTGTTTTTCTGCGTCCTCCAACCAAATCTGTCTCTTTATCTCAAAAGGGGAGGAGAGAGGGAGAGAGAGGGGGAGAGAGCGAGACTGAGAGGCAGATTAAAGCCCCAACCTCTGCCCATCTTTATGCTCTCTTGGCTGCAACATCACGATAACTTTTTATTTTCATTTCTAATTACATTGCTGAAGGAAGAAGTCTGATTCTCATTTTGTCGTCATATGTTACACTTTGCTTTTAAAATGGATTCGATTTTTTGCGAAATATTTGAAAAAGAGCAGGCTACTCCACAAATTAAGTATTGTGTTAAATTACAATCTTAAGGTAAATAATTCAAATTATGTTGTAGGCCAGTAATTAATGCACTGTTGAGAATTGTACAAGTCTTTTGACAGGTTCACTGACTGGAGATCATACCACTTAAACGGGGTGATGCCTAAATTACTCAGACTCATACTGTTTCCTTTCTTGCCTGGCAGGTAAGGAAGGAAACAGAATGAGCCTGAGTAATTTAGGCATCCCTATAAAAGCAGCAGGCAGAGAGGGAACACAGAAACCTGCTGGAGCTCAGTGCAGGGTTGGTTAGGATAAAATAATAACATTTGCAGACAAACAACTCCAACATTTAGAGACATATGGCATGCAGCAGTTTCTTGGAGTATTAAGTAAGAACCTCAAGTTATCAAAGCCACTGTGAGTTTCTGCATGCTGCCTTTTTTGTAATACCATAATAGGCGACCACATACACTCACTGGCCACTTTATCTGTACACTTTTTCAACAGTAACTTGATGCTTTTAGGTGTGTTGACATAAGATAAGATAAGATAAGATAAGATAAGATAAGATAAGATAAGATAAGATAAGATAAGATAAGATAAGATAAGATAAGATAAGATAAGATAAGATAGAACTTTATTAATCCCTCGGGTGGGTTCCTCTGGGAAATTCGATTTCCAAAAAAGCACAGCAACGACCGAAGTTACAGAGTTATACACACACACATATATATAAATACAGAGACAATATAAATAAAATATACGAAGGGGATAAATAGAATAAATAGGAATAAAAATAAAAATACAAGTGAATTGCACATTTCAAGTATTGAGTCTATTGCACCGTTGACTATTTACAAAAGTATTGCACAAAAGGTATTGCACAGTGAGGTGAAGAGGCACTACAGCTTAGTTGTTCCCCCCTCCTTTGTCCTCCTGTCTCCCCTCCCTCTCCCCTCCAGAGAGGAGTTAAACAGTCTGATGGCGTGTGGGACAAAGGAGTTTTTAAGTCTGTTAGTTCTTGTCTTTGGGAGAAGCAACCTGTCACTGAACAGACTCTTCTGGTTGTTAATGGCCGTGTGCAGAGGATGTCTGGCATTGTCCATAATGTCCATCAGTTTCTTTAATGTCCTTTTCTCTGCCACTGTCACCAGAGTGTCCAGCTTCATGCCGACCACAGAGCTAGCCTTCCTGATCAGTTTCTCCAGCCTGGATGAGTCCTTCTTTGCTGTGCTGCTCCCCCAGCACACCACAGCATAGAAAAGTACTCCAGCAACCACCGACTGGTAAAACATCCTCAGGAGCTTCCTGCAGATGTTAAAAGACCTCAGCCTCCTGAGGAAGTACAGTCGGCTTTGGGCTTTTTTATACAGGTGCTCTGTGTTGCATGACCAGTCCAGTTTATTGTCCACCCACAGCCCGAGGTACTTGTACTTGTTACATGGTTAAGATCAACTGCTCAAACTGAAGTTGAGCATCTAAATAGGGAAGAAAGGTAATTTATGTGACTGAGTATTTTAGAAACTGCTGATCTGCTGGTTTAGGTTTTTCAGGTATTGGTAAAAAAAAGTGAGAGAATATCCAGTGAGCGACAATTCTCTGGGCAAAAATGCCTTGTTGATGTCAGAGGTCAGAGGAGAATGGACAGACTGCTCCAAGCTCATAGGAAGGTAATGGTAACACCAGTGCTGTTGCCAGTTCTGTGAGCTAAGGAGAGGAAACTGAGGCTATAATTCACACAAACTCACCAAAAATGAACAGTAAAAGCTTGGATATAGGCTGCATGATTTGATTAGTCTCCATCTCTGCCTTAGATTTGAGATGGTAGAGTCAGAATTTGGTGTAAACAACATGAAAGAACACATCCAACCTGTCTTGTGTCTGCAGTTCAGGCTGACAATGGTGTTTTAATGGTGTGTGGGATATTTTCTTGTCACACTTTGGGCCGAGGATTTCACCCTAGGAAAATTTCACTAGAAATTTTGGCATGAGGGTGCCATGAATATCAAATTTAGTGGCAAAATGAAAGCCACGTTTTTACACATATGCTGGTGTTACATGCTGTAATATGCAAGAAGGTCCTGAGTTCAATTCCCCCATCAGTTTGCATGTTCTCCCCGTGTTTGCATGGGCTCTCCCCGGGTACTCCGGGTACCTCCCACAGTCCAAAGACATGCAGTTAGTGGGGATAGGTGAATTGATCAATCTAAATTGCCCATAGGTGTGAATGTGAGTGCGAATGGTTGTCTGTCTTTGTGTGTTAGCCCTGCGATGACTGGCGACCTGTCTAGGGTGTACATGACAGCTGGGACCCCCCACGACCCTGAAAAGGATAAGTGGAAGTGAATGGATAGTTAAAATACACCAAATGCAGTAAAATGGTAAATGGCCTGTATTTGTATAGCGCTTTACTTGGTCCCTAAGGACCCCAAAGCGCTTTACACATTCAGTCATCCCCCAATTAACACACACATTCACACACTGATGATGGCAGCTACACTGTAGCCACAGCCACCCAGTAAGTATACACATGTGACATATAATACATACAGAAATAATTAAATTGTTGCTTAAAGTTACACAAAATGCAGAAATCTGCACTTTCATGAAACACTTTTCACCAAAAATTGAAAACTGTTTTTTTCCTGATTTATTGGGTTAAGTTACAGCTTTTACTGTAAAAAACACAAACATGTTCACTCAATTATTTTCATAACTTGAAATGCAAGTTGTAGAAATTATATTGAATGTTAATTGAAGCTAGGCTCAAAGTGTTAATGCTAGCTTATTTTAATAAACAACATTGTCATATGCAAAACTAGTGTAGCACAAGACATTATTTTAGGTGGCACATGCCACCCCATGCCACCCCTGTAGATCCGCCCCTGACTTTGGGCTCCTTAGCACCAGCAGCTTTTTTGTTCAAACAACAAAGCCTCGAACAAGATAACATGCTATGTAACAAAGTTTAAATCATCTCAAGCTGCCTTTTTGAGCATGGCAGTGAGTTCACTTTACTCAGACGACATCAACGGTCCCCAGATCTCAACCCAATAGATCACCTTTGAGACGTGATGTGGTTCCAGCACCTTGGCTGGCAAGCTGTACCTAAAAAGGTGGCCGGTGAGTATTCATATTTCCTGAGGTGTCTCTTCCTGCCAGTTCAAATTGTCTTGAGTGGACTGTTGTACTGAAATAACACTTAACAAATAAAATAAATCAGACATTGAATTAAATATGTGAGTAATGTTTTAAGGTGGAATTCCCACTTACTCTTTTATTTCCGGGAACCCATTTTACAGAGCAGCCGTTTAGACAATAAAAGCATAAAGCAGGTGTTACTAATTAAACCAATGAACATTCTGCTCCATTTAGATGCAGACCCCAGATTAATGTGAAGCACCTGGGTTTATGTGGTTTTTCATTGGAAAACAGTTCTACTGCAGGTTCACTGAAGCCCCATCTTGCATATTGAATGAGCCACTCAGGTCAAAAAGATACTCCTGCTGATTGAATAAGATATACTGACTGCAGAGCTGAATCCTATGTCTAATCATCAGTGTTTAAATAGATGTGGCTGGCACAGATACTTTCACAGGCTGACCTCTGGACCAGCGAACAGCCTCAGGCTGGGGAGGGGAAGCCACTGTCTGGGATCAACACAGTCACGTGAGGTTGATATCCCTGTAAGGATGAAGGCTGCCCCCTGTAGGCTACTAGTGGGACTGCTCTTTGGGAAACCGTACGCATTTATTTGTATGTAACAGCAGTTTAACCTGTTACGACACCATTCACACAGTATATTTATTCATGATGATGTCATTTTGATCACAACAGCATAAATTTTGATCATAACACATTTCCCACCATACATGTGTCCGTTTGCTTCTCCCCTACACTAGTTTCTTATCTGTTTATTTAAGAAAAGAAATGAAAAGTTGTTTCAGAGTCATTTATGAATAAAATGTATGTTTGTAATACATTGTATGCTTTTATTTTATTGTAATTTCCCCACTTTGAATGATTTTGTAATCTTTTTCAATGTCTCCCAGACCTAGAAGTGAGAGTAGCAGTGCAGAAGTGATAAAGAAAACAGACAGCTGGGCCACCTCCCTTTTGGATACAAATCATTGAAAACCACAGTTAATTAGGACATTTAAGGAAACAGTACAAATATGATAAACCCAAAGAGAAACATTACAACCCCAAATTCGTCATTTAAGTTGCCAAAAATAGCTTCTCCTGATCCTTTCCCAAAGATAAACCCTGTCTATTTTCCCATAGGCATTGTTGAGTCAGTGGCCTATGCATTTTTTTGCTAAATGGACTTAGATTAGCAGACTGGCCACAGTTAGGTTATGTAACGATCTCATCTACATCTTTCTAAATCTGAAGTGAAGAGAGCAGATATCCATTTTGACTATTCACTAAGTGTAATCTTGTCCTAATTTCAGTGTTATGTAGCCTACATTTGCAAATACTTAGGATATGCCCTCAGATTTATGCTGCATCATTCAGCAATGTATAATTTACCTCACTACTCTGTTTGAAGACTGGACTTACTCCAACATATAAACATGTATCTCATAGTTTTCTTACTGCTATCCAGACAGGCACACATCCATCTGTCCATTTTCTTAACTTTTTTTTAAAAATTATTATTATTCAAAGCCATATGGGACTTGGAGGCTATCCCAATTATCATAAGGAAAGATGTAGGTTACCCCCTGGACAGGTCGCCTGTCGATCATGGGGCCATTTCTGGATAAGTCTGTTTTAACAATCTCAGTTCATACTCATGAGCATTGCTCTCTTCTTATGGGAATCCTGCGCTACATGTCTCAGCAGGCCTGAGCTACTGGGCTTCTCTCATTCATTCACACTTCTATTTCCCCTCCCAAAGCTGTTACTATCAACTCTTATTTCATTCGTGTGACAAAAATAACTCAGACAAAGCAGGGCAAGCCAACTACAAAGACAACACTTATGAGACAATGGGATGTGATAGGAAAACATAGGGAAAAAGAGGATTTCACGTCTGTTGTATCTAATATTATTAAAATAATTTATCATGAGATGAATAAGTTGTTTGACACCCTAACTGATATCTTCAATGTGCTACATCCTTAAATGATGAGGTTTTAAATCCTTATTTTCTGTTTGAGGCAGATTAGTGATGGAAGAATTACTCAGATATTAGTTGATTGATGCACAAATGTGCATAAAGAACAAAGGAGCACTAACCAAATCTCTTAATGTGTGTTTGATGGAAATATGGCAGCACATGCATATCTGAAATTTTCTGTTTGCAGTGTTGTAAGAGTGGAATGGAACAAAAGATACAGACAGAAAATAATTTATTCACTGACACAAAGTTGAATCTGTGAGAAGGTTGAAAAAAAGCTGCAGAAAGACAGAAATAAAAGAACAAGAAAGAAAAAGAAGTCCAGAAAGGGGACAGGACATGATTGTTGAGCTTAGGAATTATTAATGGAAGTAGGATATATTAAGACTCTAATACTGTGCTGAATCTCAAATGTGAGCAATGACTGGTTGGAGGACAAGAGGAAGTAGATATAATTTGCTCCCCCGACTTACTGGCAGATACACAAAACCAAAAAAACATTTCTCAAATCGACATAAGTACTAAAAAAATATGTGTATGTATGTATCAGTTTCTTGGCACTGCATTATTATTCTTATTATTCTTATTTTTATTATTATTATTATTCTTAGTAGTAGTAGTAGTCGTAGTCGTATTTCTGATCTTATTTTCTGCTGCTGGTGCTTTTTCATTCTTAAAAGGGATACAAGCTGGTCCAGCCTCCTATTTTTTCACATTAGTTTTGGGAAATGTCTGTCTTCTATGCATTAACCTAAAACAGAGAAAGTAATAAAATCATTCCATCAAATAAATAAAATAAGATATTGGTTCAGTTAACACTGTCATTCCACCTTGTCGACACCAGGGGGCAGATGAAAATAACGCATGAAGGAGGCATACAGTTAAGCAGCCCACTCCAGTCTGTCAGACAGACTAATAGAAAGCCGCACAGCTGATGAACGAAAGGCACTTCAGTCGGGTTCAGTTCATGTATCAAACCCAAGAATGTTGATGCGCGTCCCAACTTTGAAACAATCTCACTGCCTGCAAATTTCACACTTGAGGAAATCATGAAAACAGCAGGATTTGCAGATGCTATGCTCTATTAGTCAAACAAGGTTAAAAAGGAAAGTAAAAGTATCAGTTTGTTGTCTGAAGTAGTGACCAGTCTCACTGTGTTCCTATTATGTGGAAATATGACATAATGGAACATGAAGCCCTGAGTGAATGTGTCTTTTATCCCAGAATGCTCGATCATCATATCAGCGTTTTGTATCCTGGATTAAATTAGTCTTAGATATCTGAGTGTGTTCTCAGTGGCTTGTGTTTTATTGGTGTGTGGGTGGGGACATTTACTGGAAAAGATGAGGATGGAGAACTGAAAGAAAGATCAAAACCACCACCTGGGGGATTACACAAAGTATTAATGTAATGAGGTTTGTGAGTATGTGTGTCTATAAATAAAGATATAGAGATAAACTAAACAATGACCTTATAATCAAGCTCTGGTTGGAGAGGTAGTGGAGGAATCCAACACTACAGATGGACAGATGAAAGACAGACGGAGCTCAGTAAGACAGGGAAGTTAGAACATTAGCAGTTGAGTCTTTGTTTCGCCGCAATCACGTGTCTCTGTTATGTGGATTGATTTATTAATGGGTGTCAAAGCAAGTCAGCTGCAACAATTAAAGAGAATACTGAAGATTAACAGGTCACTGGAAGCAAAGGTATATCGTGAAAGCTGGCTATAGATTTTATGTCAAAGCTATAAATAACATCAGGTCATCTAAAGCACAGACAGGCTGTCAGCCATCCACCATCGAATATCTGGCATATTAATTAACCTTTTTATAGGTTTATGTATTTATCTTTGTCTTCCTTACCCAATATGATTATGGAGTGTTCACATAACACAGTCCTCTAGCTGTTTAAATCATAAACCTGTGAACAGAAAAAAGAAAACCTAGTGTTATTAAAACGGGGTCTTTCACCATCCATACAGGACTGATGAAAAAGGAAACTCCCCTCCTCCACACACATGAATGTAAAGATGCACTCAGGCTATTAAGAGGGCTGCATGTTCGGGTATAAATCAGCTCACAGTACATCAGGGAAATATGTCCTGCACATGAGACACTCTCTTGGCCTAATAGATATTACCTCATACAGCATAAAAGCAAATGCACTTATGTCAATCAAAATGACTAGCTCTACAAAAACATATTGGTAATATTGTGAACGAATGTCACTACTTTTCAAGGCCACTAAATCAAGAGTAATTAAAATTGCCCCAAAGCGTCACTAAAGACAAGAGACAATAACCCTGCAGGGAGGAGGAACCACTAGTGGGCAATATGACTGGAATATTGACAAGTGAGCAAGGCGACGTGAGGAGAAAAAAACCAGGTACAAGGGGGAGAGCCAAATGGTTCTGATTCAGAGAAATGTTTGCACTTGTCCCACTCTGATGAATTACAAGTCGAGGGCCTTTTGCTCTCTCTCGCTCACTCCCCTCCTTGCTGGTTTTATAAATAGGCCACTTTGCTTTCTCAGTAATCCACAGAGAGCACAAGATTCACTTAAGGCGAAAAGCGGGACACGAAACCATTTAGGTGGTGAGGGTTGATACACCTTATGTAATGGACATGAGAGCAGATGCTCCAGTAGCGGTTCCCTACGCTCTGTTACAGCTTTTTCCTTTTTGTTTTGTTTTCTTTCTCACACAAAATGATGTCACAGCCGATTTCACTATCGTTTCTGTGACAGCTGCTTATAGGACACCACGGTGTGAATCCACATGAGAAAAACACAACAGTAGCTGCATGTTAGCATAAATATATTCTTGATGTTATCAATGAGACCAGTATAATTCATAATAACTTTATAATATACATTTATTTTAAATAATGAAAGTATCTCTGAATAGATATTTTCTGTTTTTAGTTTATGTTCATAGGACATGATAAGGACAGACATTCAAATCCATATTTCTTTGGGTGTAATAATATACAGCTTGATTCTTAGTTCCTTCTTTTGCATACAATAGCAGATAAAACAATCCTTGTACATATAGTGAGCATAGACAGCTGTAAGTATAGACAACAACACAGTCAATGAGCTGAGGATTATCTTATATTTCATTCACACACGTTTTTGCCTGTCAAACAGTTGAAGAAGACAGAGCAGAGCGACTGGTTTTCTGAGAGTAACTTTGTACTGAGACAGGATTTATTTGACCAAGCTCTGCGTCAAACCTCAGTCCATCCACTTCTGAGGCTCAAAGGCAGCTAATTAATACAAAAACAGAGTGAAAAACAACAGGATTTTATCATTTCTGACAAAGCAAATCAGTTTCATGGATTTTCTATTACGCAGGAACCTACACATGGCAGAGTCTGGTTCTAAAGCATTAGGTACTTGACGACATAATCAAAGCAGCTCTAACTCTTAGATACATTTACATGGCTACAGTTGTGCAAACCCCACAATCGGCAGGTTTAGGTCCGTTGTGGCAGCGAAGTCTGTCACAGAAATGCGTCTGTCCATAAGATTACATCTCTCGGGTAAGCATCTGTGTACACTGTCTGTATGTTTTAAAATGCCCAGTGTTTGTATGAATGTGTGTCCGTGTACAAGTCCACTCGTGTTGTGCAGTACAGCAAAGCCGTGTTATCCATGACTTAGATCCTGATGTGCCACGCTGTTGGTTCCTCTGAGAGTTTGTTGTCATTTCAGGTGTTGTATGCTTGCTAAGAAGAGCAGCAAAGACAGCGTCCAGCCTAAGCCTGAAGTGACATATATACGTAGGTGTTCCTGTACACAGGAGCAGCTCATAGTAATGCAAATACACATAAGAAAAATGCAAGGGAGAAAATTGCGGCAGTGTTGTCTCACTTGAATGATCATACTTCCCTTCACAGACTTTGCTCTACTTCCTTATATTTTAAGTCTTCAGTAACTTGCCTTTGCAGACACTGTAGCTTATCTCACAGGTCCACACGCACTTGTGGACATCATCACAACGGAGTGTTTCCTTTCAGTTTGCTTTGTTTAATATACTATGTGCATGTGTTTAATATATGCAGTACATAGGCTGTAAACACTGTGCTAACGCTGAGCACCATTGTCATTCTAGCCTGGAAACAAGGGGAGCAGCATTTGAGAGCAGTGACGTCAGCTTGTGTGTCTCTGAAAGCTCTACGTTTCTCTCACAGTCTCTTTGTGTCTGAGTCTATTTCTCTCTCATAAGCTCTCTCACCCACAAAATATTACACACCGAGGTTGATGGACCTATATGTTAGAGATGGCAGCACTCAGACAGATCCTTGGAGCATTACAAATACACTTGGGTGAGCAAAAACTCTGACTGATCAGCTATGAAACTCAGTGCATCCACTGAGCTGGCAGCAGACGGTGCGCTTTCACGATACATAGATACTAGGTCATGACTGCAACAGACTATAACAAATAGAAAAGTGAAGAGTTTGGGATGTTGTTAGCATCCACAGGGCGGATCATAGTGTGATATCTTTCATCTCCTATGCTGGAGGTAGCTAATAAGCTGCCACATGAACACACTACCCTCTCTAACTTAGAACTTTCCATGTATGTAATTAAGTACGTTTTCCTTTCTTTATTGTCAAATATTACTTATATTAATGCATGCACCAATGATTACTTTTGAGGACATGCAGCTTTGCAAAATCAGAACTGCAAAAGTTTTGGTTAGTTAAATATGTTGGGCCAGGGGAATGATTTCTGAAATGGGTGCAGAAACGGAAAACAATGCATACAAAATTAACAAAAGAAAATTGATGTCTTTTACAAACCAAGATCCAATTTAGCAGGTGGTTGCACATAACAACTTTCAGAGGAAAACAAATGTTCCCTTTTCATGTCTGCCTTAGATGGAGGCCATTAAAGGATAACGCTGTGAAGCAGCTTGATTAGGTCAGATTACTCTGTTTTAACAGCTAACTGCTTAAGACGTCGTAAGCAGACTTGCAGTAAACTCAAATGCTGGCACTAAAGCTGAAGCTTAAAAATGACATATATACATTTCAGTTGATCATGAGACCTAAGCTGTGTTGATATATGCAACAGAATGTCAGCAATTTGCCCACAAAATCATTGTATCTATTCCTACACACATGGAATGCTTTGAAGTCAAGAACAGCAACGTTTATTTTGGGCAGTGATGTCAAGCTGAACACGTTTAACTGCGTGTCTAAGGTTACAGCAAAGAGGCTGGAAACTCACCCAGAACACTAAAAGAGTATTTCATTCAACATTAAGGCCATGAAAATATATGTAATAAGACCACGTTGATCATAAATTAATTATATTAAAAACACTCATTAGTAGAATACGTTAAGACATTCACTCTGTTCAGTGTTCTGCTGTTCACCTGCTAATCTGCACTAATTAGAGGCAAGAAAAGGCTTCGAGTGGAGAGAGTCACGCACCCTGCATAGACATTGTAAATCATTTTGAACTTCATCAAGAAGAAATGGCAGGAAAAGAATGTGGTGTACAGAATTACAGCAAAGCACTCATTTAGGCTGTTGGTGTCTACCTGTCTCTGCTAGCTTGTACTAGACAAGATGTAGCAAGGGAATGAATACTAGTGCACATGGCCACCAGCATATTGGTGCTGCACTCTCGTTCTTTCTTTCTTAATTCGGTGTTCCCTCGAGAGAACAGCTGTGATCTGGTTGAAATGATCTTTCTGTGTATCTGGACCTTGGCAGTTAGAGCAGCAGATTAAAGCTGCCCATGAATGCTGATCGAGTGGCCTGTTTTATAAGTTATGACACGTCTGTAATATTGTTGGAATATTGTTATCATGCATCCTTTGTGCAGCAATTAGAGAAAGAAGATAAAAAAAATTAGTGGTCCTTTTATATTGTTATTATTGATTATTATGGTTAGGCTACAATTTTGCTACTGTTGGAGGCAGGATAACTACTTTCACAGGTAAGACTAACTCCATGCAAACACTAACAATGTCGTGAATACGACAGCTGACAGTTCTATAGTATGAACATGATGTGGGAGAGGATGTGGTCTTCTCTACTGACCCTTTCTCCACGTTAATCTCACTGATCTGCTCTGTACTCCTATACTGGGCCCCATACATTTATCAGTATGCGGACCTTTAGCTTCCCACTACAGTTATTGTAGATCCCAGCAGAAGTAAATCATCCGAGCTCGCATTATACATCTGTACGCATCTTGGTGATGTTTACATAGTTAGTGTTGGCCAGGGTGCAGTTTCCTGTTTTCCTGGCCTCTGATCTGAAGTCCTCCATACTGTGGTTCACTGCCTCTTGGATTTCCACATAGTCAGACTTACTGAGAGTGGATCCACTGCCGCTCCGACCGCTCTTCTTCAGCTCGTCAGCTGAGCTGGCTTTAGGCACACTTGGCATATTCAGATACTGTGCCTGCTCCTCACCTTCTGTCTCTCTGTGGTAGAAGTAGTTGAAGTTTGATACAATGACCGGTACAGGCAGTGCAATAGTCAGCACACCGGCAATTGCACAGAGAGACCCCACAATCTTCCCCCCAATAGTTGTTGGGACCATGTCTCCGTAGCCTACGGTTGTCATGGAAACCACTGCCCACCAAAAGGCCTCGGGGATGCTGCTGAACTGAGAAACTGGCTCGTCTGCTTCTGCAAAGTAGACCGCACTAGAGAAGAGGATGACACCAATGAACAGGAAGAAGATGAGGAGGCCCAGCTCACGCATGCTGGCCTTCAGTGTCTGCCCTAAGATCTGGAGTCCCTTGGAATGACGTGAGAGTTTGAAGATACGAAATACCCTAACTAGACGGATGACACGGAGAATAGCCAACGACATGGCTTGCTGGCCTGCCTGGCCATCCTCTGGCCGCTCTGCTAGTTCTGTGCCGAGGGTGATGAAGTACGGGATGATTGCCACAATATCAATGATGTTCATGATGTTGCCAAAAAATCCAGTTTTGCTGGGACAGGCGAAGAACCTAACTAGGAACTCAAAAGAGAACCAGATGATGCAAAGCGTCTCAACAATGAAGAAAGGATCTGTAAAATAAAAGCTTGCAGATGGAGTGGTGGTGTTGTATGTGGACTGGAGTGAGTTATACATCTCATCTTCGTTTCGATTAAGTGGCAGTGTCTCCAGACAGAAACTGACAATAGAGATAAGAATCACCATGACAGAGATTATGGCAATGATGCGAGCTGGTCCTGAGCTCTCTGGATATTCAAACAGAAGCCACACTTGTCTCTGGAACTCGTTTTCTGGCAGAGGCCGCTCCTCCTCCCTTATAAAACCTTCATCCTCCCTGAAGATTTCCATAGCCTCTTCACCCAATTCATAAAACCGGATCTCCTCAGAAAAAATGTCAAGAGTCACGTTAACAGGCCGGCGCAGTCTCCCTCCAGACTGGTAATAATACAGAATAGCGTCAAAACTTGGTCGATTCCGATCAAAGAAGTATTCATTCCGGAGCGGATCAAAATACCTCATCCTTTTTTTAGGATCACCTAGCAGTGTCTCTGGAAACTGGGAAAGTGTCTTCAGCTGTGTCTCAAAGCGCAAGCCTGAGATGTTAATGACAACCCTCTCGCAGCATTCATGATCCGGATCCGAGTCGTAATGGTCATGAGACTGACCTGGATGTGCTGCTGCTTCATCCGCAGGGTCGCTGGTAGCGACCGTCATGATGGAAGAAGATGGGACCTGCAGCTTTCAGACCGGGCGGGGCCACGCTGGGCCACAAGTAGGTAAAGTCTCCACACACTTGTACAGTCAGGCAGATTTGCCTGCTAAAAGGAACAGACAGAAAGCAGAGGTAGGTTTAATATTAATGTGATCAGCACATGCTTCACGCTCTACTTTTTATGGGACTTTAAACGAATAACTTGTTCAGAAACTTGTATTCACTGGCAAACATTTATGATCCACTTATTTTGTCAATTCTTAAACCAAACATTTTTCAGCTGCTGTTATTTCCCAGAAAGGCCATGTTACTTCAAAGCCTTGAAAGCAGAGCATTTGAAAATAACAAGTTGGTGGGGGCAGAACCATTTGCGAGCGCTGGCTCCATTGTGTCTGTGTATTAGGTTATGAGTTCTCCCTCATATGAGCACACTGCAGGATCAATATGCAGGCTAGTAATACAGTATCCACTCTCACAGGGTGCAATTACAACCAACAAATCTGATTATGAGCTCCACAGTCTCTGAGATGAGCTTCCTCTATAAATCTGGTGTTACCAGCATTTCCTACCAATGCTGAAAAAAAATCTTACCTAATTTAATAAACTTCGTAGTTTTTTCAGTAGAGAAGATTTTGGGAGATTTGTCAATTCACGTGTTTGACATAACACACATCTGTTCTGTTCGTTAGCAGCTGCACAAAAGCAACGGTGGAGAACACAAAAAAACCCCAAAAAACTTGTTTCAGCTTTTGATTTTTAAAATAAGGTCTGAAAAAATCTATCAATCAAAAGCCCCTACCTGCTACTTTTCACAGGCACGTATTGGGCTTGTTTACAGTCTCTGTCCTCTGCTGGTAAATCTTAAGCAGAGTGCCCGGTCCTGAGTCACTCCCCTCGGTCCAAGCAGCTCCTTCCTGTCACTCATATATCATCCGAAGCTCTGGCGCTGCAGCAAGGCGGCAGTGGGAATGGGAGAGGGGACAAGGTGTGAGGATGCAGGAGTTACCTCCATCGCTTCAGTGACCAGCGGGCACATGCCGAGATGCAGCTACGCTACAGGCTGAAGCTGGTCGGGGACGACGGTGGGGGCAAGTGGTTTGCACTTAAACACACTTAAAATCCTGACATTAGTTAAATTTAACATGACACTGCCGTCGCCCAAAACAAAAACAACGACAGCCTTGATGCCTGGCATCAGTGAAGAAAAGATACTGTGAAAGCCGCCGAGGAGATTTAAGAAATAACGCGGAATCACCTGTTTGATTCCTAAGTTGTTTAAAAAAATGTTACTTTTTAATTATTTCAACGTAAATATCACCATCCTTTTTTTCGGATGGGGAAAATCCATATGACTACACCAGTGATGCACATCACTAAGAAACAGAATGCATTCACAACTCCATGGATGAAACCAACCCTCTGATGGCGAAATAAACTATTGCTAATAAATGTGAGTCCAAGCAGCCAAGTTCATGCATTTTCAGACATTAAATGGAAATGTTGTAGTTGACTGCAAGCGCGAGTTAGTTTGGAGGGGCAGGTGCCAGACATGCTCAAGCCATTTGCAGCCCTATCCTGTGCGGATCATGGAAATCCACAACAGTCTCCATGCACTAAACAAAGCAGCATAGCATTATCTGTCCGAGTACAGGCAGCATTATTTCAGATAGGCTAATGGCATGCAGGAATTCACCGCGATTGTCTTGTTGTTGTGCAGACGCATGTAGCCTATTAATGTTTTGTTAAATCCAGTTTTTCTCTTCTCAAAAGGTGTCTTGAGGTCGTTCGTCTATTTCTTCATATGTGCCCTTCTTCCCCTATTTGACTAATCAGTCCAGCGGCTGTGTCATCTCATCACGTCTAACTGTTTTTGAGCTGCCGGCTCTTCCCGTGTTTCTCATATTTCACCATAATTCACCATAGTAGAGATGCGTGGGCTGCAGTTAGGCATTGCAGCGCATACTAAAAGCTTCTTGTGCGCCTCGCCCCATCCCTTTGCGCTCCCCACCCCCCGACACTCCTGTCCTCACTCTTCCACATTAAAGAGGAAGCATCGCCCACTAGAGAGTGGAAGCGTTTCTAAGCAAAACACGCGCTGCTCAGAAGAGATTAAGGGGAAGAAGAAGAAGAAAAAAACCCTTAGAGGCAGAGAATGTCCGAAAAAATTTGAGCGATAAAATGTTGTTAACGACTTGGCTTCTGTTGTGTTTCCGATGTGGATATATATCCACATAACAAATTAGAATTGGGCTAAAGAGAGGCACAAAAACACCGTGAACAACAGTGAGGGAGAATTGTAGGGGAAATTACACGTTTAAACAGCTAATGCACAAAACAACAAAATCCCAGGTGCTCAAAGTTATTTTTGACGGTCTTGAATAGTTTTGGAATTCATGTCTCTCCAATGATTATAATAGTTAATCTTTATATGTATGACATAGAAACACCCCTGTCCTGATCGCTTTGTGTGTGTGTGTGTGTGTGTGTGTGTGTGTGTGTGTGTGTGTGTGTGTGTGTGTGTGTGTGTGTGTGTGAGAAAGATTACACTTTAAAAGATTGCATTTTTAAAAATTATTCTATTTATGAAGGAAAAAACCTGTCCAAACCTGACTGGCCCTATTTAAAATAGTAGTTGCCCACCTCGTTATCAACTGTGATTAAGCTCATTTGTTGAAAAGTTGAGTTCAAATTCACTTGCCATATCCAGGCCTGATTACTGCCAGACCTGCACAATCGAGAAACCCTTACATAGAACATGTCTGACAAAGTGAAAGAGATCTCAAATTGAATCACCACAATCACAATCTAAAGAAACTCAGGAACAGATGAGAAACAAAGTCACTGACATCTATCACTTTGGGTTACAAAGCCATTTCCAAGGCTTTGAGACTCCAGTAAACCACTGGTGAGAGCCATTACCCACAAATGGAGATATCCTGGAACCTTCCCAGGAGTGGCCAGCATACCAAAGTTACTCCAAGAGTAAATCAGTGACCTAGGAGGTCACCAAAGAACTGAGAACAACATCTAAAAAAAACTGCAGGGTTCACTTGCATGAGTTAAGGACAGCCTTCATGTTTCAAAAATTGGACAGGAACTGGGCAAAAGTGGCATCCATGGGAGAGCTACATAGTTAAAACCACTGAGAACACCAAGGCTCGCCTTGCATTCACCAAATAACGTCATGGTGAACCCCGAGACTTTTGGTGAAATATTTTGTGAACTGACAAGACAAGAGTTGAACTTTTTGGAAGGTTTGAGTCCCCAAACCAACACAGCATTTCATAAGAACAACATCATACCAACAGTCAGACATGGTGGTGGTAGCATGATGATCTGGGGCTCCTTTGCTGCTTCAGGACCTGGACGACTTGCTCTAAATGATGTAACCATGAATTCTGCTCTCTATCAGAAAATCCTGAAGGAGAATGTCCAGGCATCAGTTAATGCCATGAGGCTCAAGCTGACTTGGTTTATAGCTTGGATTTAAACAGCACAGCTAGGTTTGGCCCGTTCCTCTTCCCCGAAATGAAATAATCATTTTAATAACTACATCTGCAAATTGCATTTATCTAAATTTATTTGATGATCTGAAGCATGATGAAGCAAGTGTGATAAATACAAACCATAAGACATCAGGAAGGGAACAAATACTTTTTACGGTACTGCACTGTATTTGCCACTCTGGTGTTATCAGGTTCTACTGATAAATGCCCTGGAACTCTTAAATCTTCAGTTGTTTGTGAATGTAAATGAACACAGCCCATTTCTAAATGCAGGAGCAAGCCCAGCTTCCAATATCCCGCGCTGGGTGTCAGTAGAACAATGATTCATCTTCCACCACCATGTTGAAAGCAATTATCTAAACACACTTTCACTCACGGGATGAGGAAGAGTGCACGTAGAGCATGTTATAGAATATGGGATTCAGAAAGGGTCACAGTGACGTGAGGTTTATTTAAGTCTTGCAGCTGTTTTGTGTTTTTGTTTTAAGATCCAACATCAGTTTTTCATGTTAGAATTCACTGTTCTAAACCATGAATACATTTTTTAAAAATCGTTTTATTTCTTTAACCAAATTAAAAAATCATCAGCTAACTGAAGTCTTATTGGAATCCCACTATTAATTACTGTTGTACTATGTTGAAGCGATACAACGCATATCTATACTTCAGATGAAACCATATATACATACATATATATATATATATATATATATATATATATATATATATATATATATACATATATATATATATATATATATATATATATATATATATATATATATATATATATATATATATATCAACAAAAAATGCAGTGGTAACTAAAGTCTTGACCTAAATCATAAAGTTGGTATTTCCTAGCTGGTACAGTGCTGGGCTTTGAATGCCCATAGACATATAAAGTATAAACAGTTTTATATCAATGCCACACAGTTTACCCAGAGTTTGACAGACCCAAACCCCTTCCAGATAGCCAGATCCATCTCCAGTTCCCTCTTACCTTCAGGTTATGCCAAGTCTGAACCTAATAGGAGCATTGATTGTGTTTTATGTTTAGCCAAGCAGGCCAGATAAAATCTGAAAGGGAAACTTTAGATTGCTTCCCAACTATTGACCCCACATGACTGCAATAACCATGCAAACATTATTTTTCACTGTATTAAATATGTACCATGTTGTGATAGCCAGTGAATTTATTGGAGCTTATGCTCCAAAATGCTACCCAAGCACTCTGTTTTGTTTGTTTGTTTTTTCTTTCTTTCTTTTTTAGAAGATGGATTAGAGGAAGTAAATATGATGGATACAGTCTTAATACTCGGGATAACATCTAAGTGAAGAGGTTACGCAGAAACCATTATTCCTGAAAGAGAAGGGCATACGAATATTTTGAAATGATTATGGCACGACTAGGATATGTGTGTCGGACACGCACACCTAAAATCTCCAGCCTTTCTCATGCATGACTGGAAGAGTGAGAACGAGACCGAGTGAGGGAGAGAGGTTGTTTATCTAAGTTATGACAGACGACTGCAGGGAGGAGCTTTGTCCTGTGTGACCTCTGCTGGTGCTGCAGCAGGTGATATCTTACTAGATGCAACACACTCACACGTGCAGTGATGAGCTGTTGTTATCGGTACATTCCTTAACATACTGACTCCCTGTTTCTTTGTGGCTTCAAGCCCACAAAAATCCATGTGCAAAAACACACACATTTCTTTATACATGTATAAATGAATATGAATATGTTTCTGAAACTGCAGTTAATGTAAATGGAGAACAAAAATAAACGAATCTTTGTTGCAGAACTCGGCTCCTGTATGACACACCAAGGAGTTCATCAGCTTATTCTGGCCATTCATCCCTCTTTTTCCTCTCATTTTCTCCACCCACTCTTCACGTTCTCTGCATGTCTCCCCCTGGGGTCTCTCTCTATATTTAGAAAATGACCTTGCAAGTTCTATACCTGTCTGTTGAAAGCAACCGGTTTTCACGATGAGATATGTCCTTACCTCCAGAGCAGAGTGCTCCGGTATTGATTCTAGATGTGGTTTCACTTTCCGTTGTTTTCTCCACCTTAGAAAACAAGAGAAAATCAATGATCTTGCTGATCTGGAGGGTGTGGTTTAGCAAAGAGAGGAGTATACAAATGGCATGTATTCTGTATCACTAGATATTTGCTGCTGAATCTATAAGCAACATATTAAAACACCACCTTTGCATGGAGGCTCTTGGTGGCCTGACACGTCCACTGAACATTCATTTTCCCTAAGGAATTTCTGAAACTGTGGGCAGCAGTTAAGTGCTCTCTGTCTGGACAATTCAGCTAAATGAACAGTTAATGTATACAAACCATAGTCTGTCAGCCACAAGCATCAAGCACCAGTCTGCCTGTAGTCTGTCTGTGTATATTTGTATTATATTACTAAGAGTTGTGGAAAAACAACTATTGGGAAAGACACCAGAGAAATGGTGGAAATTGTGTCAGGAAGAGCTTATATTTATGGATCAGAAGACACTAGATTAGGGAGGATGGAAAAAAAGCCATCAGGAAATGCAGAAATGAGGGATGCAGAAAATGAAAACGAAGGGGAGGGATGGAAGAACAGAGGTGGAGAGGGCAGCAGATAAAGGTCACGGTGACAGTGATGAGTCATGCAGCAGAATGCAGGAGCGTCTTTGTGTCTCTGTGTTAAACTGTCAGCCTCTCTACCATTTGTCTCTTTGTTTTGGCAGCAAAAGATTGCAAATGAACATCCTGCTCTTGCTTAATCTAAATCTTCTTGCAGGCCCGCATGTGTCAGACTGTGTATATTTGTATTTCTAAGGTATTTCTTTCTTTGCATTTGTATACAGAACTGGACAGGGAGTCCTGTGTTCTCTGCTACGCCTGCGGCTGAAAACTGGTACTGATCAGCCAATCAGCAGTAAGAAATAATCTGATTTTAGTGGAAGCACTAGCAACAGCATCATCATCCTTAGCAACCATCGTTTCCTGCAGTGCCAAGACTGTAGCTCTGCAAGCGAACAGGGAAATATCACACAACTGGGAGTCACTAGAGGAAAAAACAACAAGAGGCGTGTGTACTGTGTCACATGACCAGGGCATAAAATTTATTATTATCCTTTATGTTAAGAAAGTCACGAGTTTATTGTGAAAGTTCTTTTATGAAGAATTTTGAAGCTGAAATCAGTCGACACCTTCCTTTAGAACATTAGTGTGTTCACTCTAATCTGGACTCTGGTTTTAAGACAAAATGTAATCATGATTAAAAATAACAATTAGCGGTTGGTACTGTTAGAAGATGTCAAGCAGCCAATAAATAAAAAATGGTTTAAATTAACATAAAATTAAAAATTTAATCATCAACAAACTGATCTCGCCTCGGGTCGAAAGCATAAGCATATATTTTAGAGAATAACATTCAAATATAC